GCTCTGGAATACCTGCGGTCCAATCATATTACCTACGGCCCATGCCAAGAAGAGCGAGGCAGTGCTAACGGACTTCTTAGTCTGCCCGGCGACATTGCGAGCCAACAAAGACATGAGAAGAACAGTCGTACCCCAGAAGGAGAGTGTGCACCAGTAGGCGAACAAGAGACCAATCCTAGTAGAATGAGAAATTGGAACGGCTTCTTTACGTTAGTGGCTTCGGATAGAAGTCTCGGAAATATTATTTACCCATTAATACAGCCGTCCCAATTATGTTAGGCACAAGAAAAAACTGCATATTCCTTTAGTGGAAGTATCTTGGAAGCAATAGGGATATCGTACAAGCTGAAAGATGATAAATTGGTTGTAGCGGCGGCGGAGCCAAGCAGCACTCAGGAGAACAACAACCTGTATGGCACCATTTACCATTGAGAGTAGTTCGGTGTCTAGAGTTGTGAAACCAAAGTTCTTGATCAATATGGTGGAGAATGATCCCAGACCACCTGTGGGGATCTGAATGCTGTTGCACGAATCAAATCAGTAGCCACACAAAAGGGTTCGAGTGTTATGAAAGAGGCAGCATACATAATCTCGATCAGAATGTAACACCATATTTGAGGATCTTTGATAGTCTCGATGATATGAGATCTTTTTAGCTTTCGGTTTTGAATACCGGTCTGGTTTTCGCGAACTCGTTCGATCATTAGTACGCGGTCATATTCTGAGTAACACTTGGCTCTCATGGGAGAGTCAGGCATCCACCAAGCGACGAACACAGCCCAGACACAAGTGATGCAGCCAAGAAGGACATAAAGAATCTGCCAGGATTTGAGAACTGGAGAGTGAACATGACTTATGCCGTAAGCAATGAGACCACCGCAGACTCCTTGAACACCATTCTGGAGGTTTTGTTAATCGTTCAACGTGACTTTGTTTTAGCTAGTCAAGAATACTCAACTCACCATTCCCTAGTCAAATTAGCTTACAACACTTTTGTTTATCAGAAACCAAAATTACTCACATACCAGTAGGCGACAATGTGTGCCTGTTCCTCTCTTCTGTACCACATTGAAGATAAGAGGAGAAACGTTGGTTGAGAAACCGCTTCAAAGACCCCAAGCAAAACTCGCATCACACACAGGATCTTGAAGTTGTACCCAAAACAGGTCATGGTGAGTGTTACTCCCCACAAAAATATGTTACCTGCGAGATATTTTGCAATGGGGACTTTCTGGACGAGAATGACAGTTGGGTATTCAGCGAAGACAATTCCAAAGTAGATTACTGTGTGAAGCCAAGAGTACTAATAGAAAGTGAGTCAGCGTGATGCCAGAGGAGCAATAGAAGATGATCTTACGTCCTGCCCGATTAGATGGGCATCTTCTTGAATGCCCATGATGGCAGTATAACTAAGGGCATTTTTATCCAAGGACTGTAGGAAATAAGTCCCCAACATGACGACTAGAACTCGCTTGTCGATCATAGACCGGAGGCGTTTGCTTGTCGCCTCGTCGACTCGCACATTATCAGCTGCAATAACATAACTGCGAAGCTCTTCATCAACAGCCGCATGTTTATTGGCTGCGGGTTCTGGGTCTGGGGAATGAGGACGCTCGATGTGTTGCTGGATTGACTTTGTCTCGGCCATTGTTTTTATCTGGACACTGCCTGCCATCCATACAAATGTCCATCAGCCTGATCCTAACTTATCTCATTAACTTATACAAACAGCTCTACCCCGACCTCTTGGCATTTTCCGAACAAGAAACTCCGCTCTACCCCAGAGTGTCAAACAGTAATGCTTATCCGATTGCGGGGTTCGGGTTGTGAGTGTGGGGTTGCGGCGATCGCTTGACACGAAACTCAACTGTCACATTGAGAAAGACAGTGTCTAGAGAGTCGAGTGCGCTCTCATGTCCGCGTAATCAAGCGGTGAATAGTCGAGCTATGCTACATATAGATAATCTAACCTTTCTTCTCCGCCTTGTTTCAAATGACTCGGTTGAGGGCATGCCGAGTTGAAATCCTTCGCGCCGATCTTATCCCCTCTACCGATGGCTAGTGTCTCGAGGTGCCCCGTGGAGTTAGATTGCAAGAAAGCACCGATCATCTTTCTATATCCTTCCGACTAAGGCTTTTCCGAATGTCCATATCCGATCTGCTATTTTCCGAACAATTTCTCTTGTAGCCAAGCACAACTTCTTTTCAATGATTTTTCGGTTTGAGGGAGAGCAGTTGTTTAATTGTCAAACACTGAGGTGTAGGATATTCATTAATTATGGCAGATGACTTGCTTTCAGTATTCACCGACCCCAATGGGGTTGAAAACGCACCCTTCGACATCACCATCCGGCTTACTGATATGAGCCTTGGAGATGCGAAGGGTTTAGCTAAAAAGCTTGTAGACAGCCTCGTCAATTTGAAAGACAATTCTGGAAAATACCGCGTGCCACTACCCAATGGTGGCTTTAAGGTAGACTCCAAGTCTTGGGACAATTGGGAGTGGGCACAAGGGGTGGGCTTGTACGGGATGTGGGTGTTGTTCGAGATCACGAATGATAAAGCCGTGTTTGGCCACATCCAGGAGTGGTTCGACAAACAGTTCGAAAAGGGCACTCCGACCAAGAACGTAAACAGCATGGCTCCTTTGTTAACTCTGGCATACCTATATGAGCACACCAGGAGGCCGGAGTATTTGGCGTATCTTGAATCTTGGGCCGAGTATATCATGCATGGCATTCCACGGACACAGGGTAGAGTAACTGTGCTAAAGCCACTTGAAGATGAATAATTAACTGTCGATTAGAAAACGGAATCCAACATATAACTTTTCGACAAGTCAATGAAGGCCAGCTATGGGACGATACGTTGATGATGTCCGTACTCCCACTCGCTAAAATTGGTGTGTTGCTCAACCGCACGGCTTACGTAGAAGAAGCCAAGCGCCAATTCCTACTACACATCAAATATCTAGTAGACAGACGAACTGGATTGTTCTATCACGGTTGGACGTTTATCGAGAGGAACCATTTTGGCGAGGCATTATGGGGAAGGGGCAATTCGTGGATCACCATTGCCATTCCAGAGTTTTTATCACTTCTCCAGCTGCCACCGGGGGACCATCTGAGAGACTTTTTAATCTCCACTCTAGAGCAACAGGTGTCCGCGCTCAAGAAATTCCAAAACAAAAACGGTCTGTGGCACACGCTGGTTGACGACCAATCGTCGTACTTAGAGGTCTCTGCATCAGCAGGATTTGCATTCGGAATACTGAAGGGTGTCAGGATGCGGTATCTAGCACAAGACTACCGAGAAATTGGGCTTAAGGCAATGGAAGCAGTGGTGAACAATGTGGACGACAGCGGCGCTGTCCAGAATGTAAGCTTTGGGACGCCAATGGGATTTACTAAAGACTTTTATAAAAAGATTAGGCTGACTACGATGCCATACGGCCAAGCAATGACTCTACTCTGCGTTGTGGAGCAAATGAGGCAATATATGTAGTATGTACTCGATCAGGAGCCTTCTTCAACACACTCATTTCCACTTCAAAGTTACAGAAGATAGAAGAAAACCTGGGGGTGGTACAAAAGGGCTGGAACAGTTGACCATCAGTTCTCCTCTTTTTTTGGGGTTTTTTTTTTTTTTGCCTCGTACCCTGTCACATTGAGAAGGGTCTTTCACAAAGCGAACCCTATTGGTGAACCTGAGAGCAATTTCGCTCTAATAAACGTATACATTCCCCTAGCAATGTTACTTGGCTATGATTGGGCGGTCGGATCATAAATTGCGAAGGAAGGAAGTTATCTAGCTTCTTAGCATTAAGATGATGTATGATTTCTTCGCTCAGTGGATTTATGCACAAAATCTGTTCCTATAGAAACAAAACTCACCCTGAACTCCGACTCACAGAAGGCAAATATGCTTGACTCTAGTGAACTGCCTTTTTGCACTAGATTTTAAAAGAAACATGGGCGGTGTCGCTTCAGTCTTCGAGGATCTGAAATAGAAACTGACGCGAGTAAGACGTATGGTGGACAAGTTTTAAGCCTGTTGCGGATGCGACAGTGACAGAATGATTCCAATGGTACTTCTGGGTTACTGCCGCTTAGAGATAGTGATATTATGTTGGGAGGGGAAATAATTACACGGTTTGTAAACCACCTTGAAGTCTTGTCTTGGATCTAAGCCGGAATGTAGGGGCGACTAATGTTTATCTTTGCCTTTAGCCACAAACCACTATGCCTTGAAAGTATTCACGCCCAGTAAGTTGTTGTGCTTCTCGTTCCAGATCTCAATATCTTAGCAGCGGTACAGATACAAAAGATCTGCACAAAAAATATGTTACCCGAACAATCCCTCCGGAAAGCTTGTTGGCCATGAATGTAAAAGACGGTTGGAACCCTCTGTGCAAGCTTCTTGACGAGCCTATTCCACAGGAACCATTTCTACATGCTAACGAAGCTGCTGCTATTGCCAATGCCAACAGCTGTGATGAAAGTACCATCACTGTGGTCAAGATTTGGAGCTGTGATAGCAAGCCGCGGCATGGCCCGTTTGGGTGTGGTTGAGATCATCATATGCCTATTATTGTACTCCGCGTCCCTGGTTTCATACTTAACTACTTTGGTCACGTACATAATTTGAGGCTAGACATTCGATAGAGACTTAAAGTCAAAAAGAAACAGTAACATGAACATGTTTCACAGGTCTCAAGGTCAATGTCTACATGACCCAACAATCACGAACTGATATCAAAGATCGTAGGCTGTAGGCAGTGACTTCCTTTCTGGGCCGGTGGTGAACAAATTCAAAGGTCTGGAATCGATATCTCACATAATCGTACAGATACATGTCTCGGAGTCGAAGCAAGTCACCATCCTATTTGGCACTTACTCTGAAGGCAAAGTCTAGGTTCAGTGCTATAAGGTACCTGAGCATCGAGACTCCTCAGGTATACTGTTCATATGACTGCGCCTGGGCACTGTATCGCCCGATTGCTATTTTAGCATCTCGTAAACGAGCTTGACCTCCGGGACTTTTGCCTCAAACTCCGCTCTAGTTTCCTCCCAAACCTGCTTCTGGATTTTCTGGCCACTCTTCCTGTTCATGAAAGGTGGATATCTGTCATCCAGAAGTTAGCAATGTGGTTTCAAACGCTCAGTTGAGACTCCATAACATGTGTGAGATAAACTTACGATGTAGTATCAAAATCCTGCATGATCTTTCCATGCGCATCTTGCCCCACCGAAACACCGTTGACTAGAGCAGTTGCACAGATTTGCGGGTCTCTAGCTCCCAAATTCATGATCATCCTTGGAATCAACTTGGCCTGGTTTGGGTTTGTCAGTGCTGTCCATGCCGAACCAGGATCAGCGCTATTGACAGTCACTCTCTGCATGCCATTGCCAGCAGCAGTGGAGACTCTGGCAGCCAACTCGCGAGCGAAATAAAGCAAGAGCCCTTTTGAGCGGCCATATTGATGCGGTTGCATTAAATTGCTGTTATTGCTCATCTTCTTGAGGTAAGAGCCGCGCCATGGCCTCGACATAGTGAAGGAGGACGGATAGATCCCGAACGTGGTGACAAATGTCAGCACAGGAGGAGATGGGTTTCCCGACGACGATTTAAGTATGGGAAGCAAAAGAAGACCGATAAGTGCGCTGGAGAGATAATTGACTTGTACCGCTGTCGTGAGACATTAGACCAAAGGTTCCACAAGCATTCACTGCTCTGATATTGTAAGGAAGACATACATGTTTCCCAGCCCTCAGGTGACTCCCGACGATTAAAGGCGAGAATTCCGGCGGTCAGCAAAGCATGGTCAAGACTCTTCAACTCCTTTGCTTTCCGTCCTAGCTCCTGACAACCCGCGAAAGTCATCATATCAATCTGCCACAGGAGTATCCTGGGAATAGGTTTGCTTTGCTCCGTGAGTTCTGCCTCGATCTGCCTTTTCACTCCCTTGAGATCCATCACGTCGACCAAAATAAGAGTTTCCACGTCCCTATGAGCAAAGATCTTGGCTGCTCTGGAGCCGAACGCGCCATTTGCGCCGGTGACTAGAGCAGTTCTGCCTTTATATGACTTAGTGTGAATTTGTGGCCGGCCAATGCGCTGTGCCGTAAGACTGCGATATGGGAAGTATTCTGCAATAAGCCATGGGATTCCGTATGTCAAAACGACAGTAATGACAGTAGCCGCAACAAGCATGCCGTAACTAGCCATTCTTTGATCAGCGCTCGTTTTTGGTTGATATGAAAATATCGGTGAGGGATTTCGTAGTAAACACGCCACACGACATCCTGTGTCCGTGCGCGTGTTTTGATTTTACTGCTGGTAAACTAGTGCCCAGTTCGACGCCCAACTAGGGAAATTACCTTGACCCACGTGCCGAGGCACGTGTATTCCAGAATACACAACGGATGTTCGAAAAGAATTACTAGATGACGTTTCGGCTGGTACGAGCGTAATTTTCATGCCGATGGAAAAAACTCATCGACCGTGATGAGAGTCTTAATCGTCCTGTTTTGTTGCGGTGGTAGAATTCCTTGATGAGAAGAGGGTGGGACAATTTTATCGACAGCTTTGAATTGCCCCCAACCTCCTGGTGATGCTACCCTAGCCTTGATACGGTTGGTCAGTTAGTCGGTCAAATTTCTAGGTGTATCTGTGCGAGAGACATGGTAACTTGATTGCTCTCCCCCCGGTCTTCTTTTCATATTAATTCACAATATCACATTGTAATGATACTCTCAACCTGAGTGTTTCCCCGATGTTACAATTTCCATTGTTTCAAAAGTCTCCCTGGATAGACTTACGATTTAATTATCAAAAGCTTATTCAGTAACTCCAATCTTGATAGTGTTGTGCGAATAAAGGAAAATTCAACGATGTCTTCCAGTCTTGCAGCCGACCAAGGAATATTTACCTCCTAAGGACCTAACCGAACTTGGTTGACTAGCAAGGCTCATATTCTCTCAGTCATCGCAATGATAAGCCGAATGATTATGGGGCCTTGCGGCAAATCGATATCATCAATAAACTAGCGATTAATGACCACGTGTTTCTTGACCAACGGCACCTTTTCAATCCCGTACAGCTCAGCCATGATGTCAACGTGGTTGATGTATGGCTATCAGGAATTACTGGTCAAAATGCCACTGTTGCAATTGTTCATGACGGGCTCGATATACATAACAATGACCTTATGCCAAATTACTATGCCGCAGGAAGTTACGACTTTAACGATTTTAAAGAAGACCCCTTCCCGACTAGAGAAGAGGACAATCATGGTACGCGATGCGGTGGTGAGATCGCTGCTGCTAAGAACCAAATTTGTGGTCTGGGTGTAGCTTATAATGCTAGGATCTCCAGGATTCGCATCTTGATCAAACCTATTAGTGATGCCGATGAGGCAATGGCGTTAAATTATGCCTATCAGAACAATGATATCTACTCTTGCTCATAAGGGCCCCCAGATGACGATAAGTCGATGGAAGCCCCAAGAGTCATTGTTCAACGTGCTCTATTGAATAGTGTTCAAAAAGGACGTAATTCGCTTGGTTCTATTTTTGTTTTTTGCTGCTGGTAACGTGGCCGAGTTTGATGATAATTGTAATTTTGATAGATACACCAACAGCATTTTTAGCATCACAATTGGTGCAATTTCTCGCATTGGAAAGCACCCAATTTATTCGGAGAAATGCTCTGGACTGCTTGCTGTTACATACAGTAGTGGCAGTGGCGATGCAATCCGGACAACTGATCTAGGAGAGTCTGGCTGTTATAGTCGCTTCGGAGGCACGTCAGCTGCAGCTCCACTGGGTGCTGACATTTTTGCTCTCGCTCTTGAAATTCGCCCTGATCTAACTTGGCGAGATATGCAGTACATCATAATGAATAGTGCAGTACCCGTTGATAATGAAGGAGACAGGCAAACTACAAGTGCTGGCAAACTTTTTAGCCATACATATGGGTACGGAAAGACCGACAGCTTCCAGTTAATCACAACGGCGATAAGCTGGAAAACCGTGAAGCCACAGTCATGGCTTGTCTCTCCTTGGATTTATGTCAGTAAAGATATTCCTGAAGATGGAAATAGTCTTCTTTCTGCGTTTCAAGTTACTGTAGAGATGTTACAAGAGGCAAACTTGGAGGCAGTTGAGCATGTTACAGTCACCATGAATGTTAAATACGGCAGAAGAGGTGATTTGCTTGTGGATCTTATCAGTCCTGGCAATGTTGTGAGTCATATCGCCGCAGTTTGTAGGGGAGACGACAGCATTGAAGGATACGATAACTGGACATTTATGAGCGTTGCGTACTGGTAGAGATCCCTCTCACATTATGGCCTGGAAACCTTTCACTGACAATCTTGAACTAGGGGTGAAGAGGGTATTGGAATCTGGACAGTTATCGTTAGAGACGCAGTTGCCAATAAAAAACTTGGCAGCCTAGTTAGCTGGCGTTTGCACTTGTGGGGCGTGGCTAGCGATGCCTCAAAAGCAAAGGCCCTGGACATGCCAACAGAGAATAGTTATCATGAGCATGACCATAACGTTACAATGACGTAAAACGCCACTACGACCATGTACTCGATACCCACAGAGTCTAGTCCACTGTTTACGGAAACCATCTCATATTATCCACACTATCCAACTAAGCCAAGTCACAGCACAATAAACATGCTAAAAACTTCTGCAAGCCACGCACATGTTGTTTCATCCGTTAAATTAATCAAAACATCGTTCTTAAACCGGTCAGCATCACCGATTTAGATCTACAGCATTGCCGGTGTGTTGCTTCTTGTTTAATTGTGGTCTGATCGGTGGGTGGCTTGTCGTTCGTCAAAGGTATTTTGTAAAGAATGATCGTAAGGGATATGAATCGAGCCCTTGACCGAGCAAGATCCTGATGACCTCATGAATGAATCGAATGATAGGGGTACGACCTAATTGAAATTTCAACCAAGACCGAGAATCTCTCAACTATGGGACTCGCCATGGAGTGAAATAAAGGAGATGTGCAGTTCATGACCAAACACTTCTAAAGAATGCTATTCAAATCGTATAATGTCGTATGACACCTTGAGACAATTAAGTATTTGTTATTCAGGGTTATCAAGAAATCCAGACCGAAGAGAGAGGCTATAGAGAATACTACTATCTCGACACTGATGTGCTCCAACACCGTTGATAACATCACCATCAGGGGAAAATAGAGGAACCTCAATAGTGTCATCAGCATAGCATAGCAAGCCTCTAAATCAAGAGTATTAATTTTCGCGACACGGTAGAGCAAGATAACTCAAAATACTAACCTGTCTTAGATAGTCCAAACAATGCATCACATGCTCAGGATCCATTACATGATGATGATGATTTTGTGAATCTCTCCTCATGCCATGATCACAATGTGGCGATGGGCTCAGATTGCGAAAGGCCAGACGAATCAGTTGTAAGCAGTGAAGCTGATGAAACATTGCAATGCCAAACACATGTTACTGGCCATCATCCTCGTGTATTCGTAGCAAAACACCACCATTCGTAGGTACGATAGCATTCCAATTATCATCCGCCTTCGGTGAAACATCCTCGAATTCAGGATGTCGACTGAATGCATGAATCTGATTGAAAGGTGAAGGGCAGAGCAGCTCTTTCAAGTCCGCATGGAATAGATGAGGCTTCGAATTTCGAGCGGCGTAAAAAATACCAATTATTGCCCCTGTCAGAAGACTACCGATGCTATTAAGATCGAATAAAAACGACAGCCGAATGGCAGGACCCTTGATTGCATTTGAGCGCCTATCTTAGGTTCTTCAGAGTCTTCATTTGTGTCAAATTCCTGAACAAGTGCGAAAATATCATCGTTGCCTCTTTGATTCATGAAATCCACACGGGCAGAATACGAATGTAAAGATAGAGGTAAGCTTCGTGAATTGATGCTTGAATTCTTCTCGAATAAAATCCGCCCACGATAATAAAAGTGGAACCTGCTGACTTGTCTCGAGACCTTTGTCGACTTGAACGCCTACGAGCCATGCCTTATCATCTGCTGTAGCACCTTCCAAATCAGGACCAGTGAGAGAGCAACTTGGATGGAGATAGTATGAGCGTTGTCGATGTCGAGTTTCTGCTGCTGTGCGGCGTGTGTGGCGTGTGTGGGTTACTCTAAGCGACAATTGTCTTGGCCTTTAGCACCGAGGCAAGATATTGGATGAGATAAGATCTGAAAGACCTGATCGTGGAGCCTTTTACTGAATTTGAAAAGGCTAGGTTAATCAGACTGGTCAAACTGTAGCTACTGCAGGTTTAGCTGACTGACCACACAGTTGAGAATATACATAATAGGTCCAGGTTTTCGAGGATGAAAAGTCAATATTGGTTGCTCTCTAGCACATGAAACTCGGCTTGAACTTCATTGTATCCGGTGAATATACAACACAGATTTTCCCAAGATCAAGAATATAGACAGGTCCAATCATCCTCAAAGGCACATTTTCCTACTTCTGGTCCTGTACCGAAGTTGAACTCAGGATTAGTTTAGTGTTTCTCGGCCAACTCAATCACCAGGTCATAATCCCGACACTCATAGACTACTGTCGCACGTGCTCTGATCTCGCCGTACTCTTTACTGTATTGAAATACGTTGGGAGTAATGTCTACATTGCAAATGATTGATTGCCGTATATTATCAATGCAATGGTCAATATGATTGGTCTCGAAGATGTCTCCTCTGTTCCTCAGCGCATCGAAAGGCGTATCGTATAGGGTACAGGGATTGTGTGTACTGTTCCAATGAGCTTCCAGCCAGAACCAAAGGGTTTTTCGAATGCTGTCCAGACAATGGATGTCATGGAACATGTTCAAAATAATGGGGTATCCACCGCCATCAGCTTCGACTTCCGGTGCAGTCTTGTTTGGCATGATGCTTGCCTCCTCATAGGAGATATGAGTGTTCATATACTTGTAGAGATCACTCCATAGTGCGTTGTTGGTTTCGTTTCGAGCACCCTGGTACGGAGTCACAGTATTTCCGATAGCGCTGGTGAGCTTGATGAGCTTTGAAGCCACATAGTATTGAGCCGGTGCTGAAGTAAACAATGTCAGGAGCCAGACTTTTTTAGGTGGAATATAATTCATCTCATACAGTAGAACTTGGGAGCTGGTGCACATAGTCTATCTTTGTCGTGATGCAAGCCTCTAGATTCTGAGACAGTACCAAGTGTGACGAGTATGAGCCCGAGGTTGGCGATGGTAGAAGTACCTAGCAAAGCTAGAAGAATAGAGTTTGGTTAGGTGAGGTGGCATGGTTGTCACGATGTTTAGCAAGCAAGCCGAGTTCGTTAAGCTAATGCGTTGGCCACCTCGCACATTCCGTGGGGATGGTGCTTCGGTCGCAAAGATACTAGGACCAGATTGGGAGTAATCTCCAATGTCGATGAAGAGGCTGAGAGTTGTAAGCGCTCTCTTAGCCAAGAACTAATTTTCATAGGAAAAATAAGGATAAGCTGTAGGCGACCCCCAGTGCCATAGTGAATCGCTTGATAATAATAAGCATGAACAGACGTTCAGTAGATACATGCCCCGCTTTAACAACGACAGCAGCTGGCTGAATACCGACCGAGCATGGCTTTCCTTGGTAGGCTGACATTCACGGGCTGAAACACTATGGCGGCGCCATGCTCATCAGCTGGCTCCGCTTGACGTGTTCTTATTGGATAATGATTCCGATTCCAGTCCAGGCAGCTCTAAATTTGTTGAGCCGATACGCATCGTTCAGTTCATGTGAGAATGATGCAAAATTTGCTGTTCCTTTGGCGAGGGTCTTTCTAGCCTGGGGTGCTTGTGCCGAGTCGCCCTTTAGCCTATTCGAGGCGTAAACGTTGTGGCAGCAAAAAAATATGATTGACCTACAATAGACTCTCTCCAGACTGTATTCTTGACATATTCAAAGAGCGAATAAGTAAGCCCTGTACGTATAAGTACTGCCATGCATGCATTAACGGATGGCAAGGCTTAGCGATAATGGCCAGTGAGATAAGTATGGTAACCCGCACCACATAGTTTAAACGATGCGGCAGCGATTGCTGCCCACTGGCAAGTGCTAGGACACGAACCGGTGAAAAACTCTCAAGTGCAAACACAACAATCCTGTAAGTGAATACAACGTTTCGCAAGTCTGGTCTCTCAGCGTGTCACACGACATGGCTGTGACTGGTATCTCGTTTTGTCAACCTCTTCGTGGCTGTGAAGTACCGAATTGGGTAACCGTCCTAGTCCTACACTTTTTCACAGGTTGATGAGGGAAAACACCACGGGTAAGAGACTCCAATCACAGCCATTCGTAGCATGATTGGCGCAGCCAAGTTGTGTTGGTCCAAGATGTATTCATTCAGTTAGCTAGTGCATCAGTAGATCGAGCGCTGTTCCCTTGGCCTAAGAATTATCACTAAGTTGTTGGAGAACTACTTGCTACTAAAAGAAAGTCTGGACCACGAAAGTACGCGAGTTGACCTTTCTCGTAGGGCTGAGTCGTCCGAGACATTTTTTCTTCAGGCGCGACGTGTGTGAACTGAGGGCTAAAGTCTAGACGCGGCTCTTTCCTTGGAGCGGCTTGGAATTGTTATGCCGATGACCTCAAACAGCCGTGTACTAGCGACAACCGGGGCTGGCTGAATGCGCTGTACGACAATGCGGGAGTGTCTCACCCGCTGAAATTACTCGTCGTTTGCGTTGTGTAACAGTGGCATTTTTTTTTCGTCAGAGGGTAGCAACGGAGTCTCACGACACATCGATGACAGCCCGCTCTTCGTACCTTAGAGTTTGGGCTGAGACAATATATGGAGTGGTTGCCTTTGGGGTCGCTTTCAATTGGTCACGGCTATTCGCCATCCAGTCAATTTGCGAACCGGCGAAGAATGTCTTAGGTTCGGGAAACCGCCGCCGTCTTGCTCACCTCAGCTGAGCTTACGAGGCTCATAGGCAACTCCCTGAAACAGACTGGTTCTTTCATATTCTATGAGTCCTCGTGGTTACCTAGACAAAGTACAACAATACGAGAAAATCACATCTCGGCTCTACCTAAAGAGTCAACGTGGGTTTCCTCTTTATTTGATGTTTTCAGAGCCATAAAATTCTTAGACGCAATAAACACTCACACAGCAAGACAAGGCACATATTTCTCTTTTTAATCACAGTGTTCCAGCACCATGTTCAAAATTCAGGACTTCCAGGGGATGCAATACTCCCGAAATGGTGCCTCACAGGACTATTCCTACTTCAACGAGCAGTATGCAACCTCAACATACCAGACGGAACATGACATGAACCCAGCCCTTATCGTGCAACCGAAAGAAGATGAGGACGTCATCCGCGCTATCAACTGGGCCACAGAAAACAAAGTTGCGATCGCTGTTAAAAGCGGTGGTCACCAGTACAGTGGTGCATGCTCCACCGGTGGTAAAAACATTCAAATCGACCTCACCAACACATACAAAGACATGATGGTCTTGGATGCCGATGGTGTTCCTGAAGACAGGGCTTTGGTATACGCTGGTGTGAGCAACCGCCTTCAAGACTTCATCGCATATCTTAAACACAACGGGTTATTCGTCCCTACTGGGCAATGTGCTTACGTCTGCGTGGGTGGTCATGGCCAGACTGGCGGTTACGGTCAGCTTGGCCGTAGCTTCGGCCTTTTTGGCGATCACATCATAGCCATCCGCATGATCGGCCATGACGGTGCTATTCAAACCGTCACGAAGCAGCGCGATTCTGAGCTCTTTTATGCCATCCTTGGTGGCAGTCCAGGCAATTTCGGTATCATCACCCACTACACTGTTGAGGTGTACAAGGGCCAGAGCTACATGGGCAGTGTTGCAGGCCCTAACGGATTTAAGGGTCCGCATGGCTTGAAAGGTCTCTGGATCTACGACCAAGAGGTCCTCACTAGTCTTCTCAATGTTCTTGCGAAAATGTCAGACGAGGGAAGTGCGCCGAGAGGCTTCGACTTGTGCGTTAGCGTTCTTAGCACTGACTTTCCTGTCACCATGCTCTTCCCATCGTTGAAGAATGATACAATCTGGAAGAAGATCCAGAACAAGATCAAAACAGCTTTAGCTGATGATGTGCTGAACCTTCTAAATGGTGAATTTCCTGCAATCATTGTGCTCTATGCACAATGGTGCCCGACAAGCAAGGACGACAAATATGACGCCGATGTTGACAACTGGTTTCAGCAGTTCCGCGATCTGAGCAGCTTCTGGAAAGATTTCGCTCTCCTAATCAACGAATTTGATGAGAGCATGGCCAAAATGACTTCAAATTGGATCTTTCCTCGGCAACGAGAGTTTGATCTTCCTTATGTCAAGCGCACATACGCTACCAAATCGACCACGCTCCAGAAGGATGGCTGGGTCAAAACTGTAGTTGATCGCCTGGACTTGATCTACAACCCCCGCCAAAAGCTTGACAATAACCAAGGAGACACGGACTATGAGATCTATGATCACTGCAAACTCTCTGTTCAGATACAGTGTTTTGGAGGCGTGAACTCACGCTTCTACAAGAACAGAAATAATGGCACCTCTTATAGCTGGAGGGACTCAACAGTTGTGCAAACATTGGACTGCTTCCATGACCCAGGCGCCAAGTACAAGGAGTACGCAGTCAACTGGCAAAAAGCAAACGATACTCTGATGATTGGTCCCTCAAGTCCTTTTAGCAAACAGGATAGGCGTGTGCTTTGGGGATCATGGGGTGACTGGGACATGCGGAAACCTGAGATTTGGAGGGCCTATTATGAGGACGCAGACAAGTATCAGAGGCTAGGTCGAGCGAGAGCCAAAGCTGACCCGAACAATACCTTTACCCCAAATGTGTTTTCTGTTGAAGCAGTCAAGAGTACTTAAACTCCAAAAGATCCCGTAGCATACAGTATCAGTGTTGAAGCAAGCGAGATTCTACCATGAAGCCAGGAGTGATTTAATTTGTTCTCTCGGAATAGTGACTTTTGGAGAGCAATATTGACTTATACCGTAGGACTTGGTGCCTGTTATTTTCTCACTCACACAGTTTGGTTTCGAGAATTAATTCTCAAACGGTTCCTTCTTAAAATAGCGTAAAATACACGAGTCAGAGGTGAATGAACTTTGGAAGACCTCCGTTTTCAAAGGCTCCAATCGACTCGTAACAAAATCAGAGTCTCTCTAAGCTTAAAAGTTGCTTTATCAATTCTTCAGGTAACGCCGATCTCTGTTTCACCGAAGGAAATATATCTATTGATTGAGGCAATGATGCCTTAGGCATATAGTTCGAACCTTTGTTGATCCTCACTGATTCTCAAAGTCAAGAGAGTACGGTAGCGAGCTTAGGTAGCCCAGATTGATGTTTCTTTCCCAATCTACCAATTAAGCGACCGCGCCAATGACTTTAACTTCGTTGGCTATTCGTTGCGCGTAACAGCCATTGATGAGCCAAAGCGCTCCACCAAACCATAGCGGCATGTGACTGCTGATTGCGCTTAGCTTGGTCTTTGGCTGAAGCTCGGCATCGAGCCTTTTTGTTTGTCGTAACTATTATCTTAGGGTTAATCACTCATATTAAGTTGATCCCTCAATAAGTTTAAATGGCCTCGATCTATTCCGCTAATATCTAAATTCGTGAGATCCTGCGCCTGATTTCTACTACAAGCTAGGCCTAGAGGATATCGTATGACCTGTTGATACCCATCACTGTCTTTTAATCCACGACACTTTTCCGTAAAAAGATTCTCGAAGCTCCGTCCATAGATGGATCTTGTGATTCATTTATGGGCTTTTGGAGGCCTCTAAAACAAAAGATTTTAGACTATACCCTTTGTTCCACCGAGCGGAGTTGAGGTGCACTTTATCTACGTTACCTGTTCCTGAGAATCTCAAACCCCTGCACTCATCCGCACCACACCAAATAAAAAGTCGCATCATTACAAGCTACTTAGAACTATAATGTGTGGTTGCCACTCGCTCGCCTGTTCTGCGTGTTTCGCACCACGGCCAAGACCCGGACTCCACTCCAAGACTCTCGGCGCCAAGCGGGTATCCCCTCTAACCTGCCGCCGAGACTGCTGCCGAGACCACCGCTACGTCTCGGCGTGCACTGAGTGAATCTTTATGCCAAGAGTACTACACCCACGTGCTTCCGTCCGGCGTTCTGATGCGCTGCGTTGTACGGGCTGGGCACCGGGTTTCGGTCACCAGTCGGGAGCTGTGAACGAACTGCGTGTCGTGGCTGCGGACGAAAATTTCGGAAATCAAACATGTCAGCAACCGCTTTATAAGGCTCAGGTCATCCTCTCGATGATTACAGATTGTTGAAGATAATCTAATCCTGAGCTACGGACTTTGCGCCCTTGTTGTTATTCTTCTCTTCTCCCTTTCCACAGGTTTTGACGCATCTGCTGGAGAGAAGCCTTAATCAGAATGGCGTCTGCAGTGATGGAACCCTACACTTACGTGTTTGCCTTTGGCACTATGTTTGCGCTTCTTGAGGCATACAACAATGGTGCAAGTATGTATCTCGTGTTCACTTCCCATAACTCTATGCGGCTAGTTAGCTGGCTAGAATACTGTGACTGAGCTATGCTAATATAGACCTCACTGTTTTATAGACGATGTCGCTAATGCCTGGGCTACTAGCGTGTCCTCACGTTCCGTTACCTACCGACAAGCCATGTTGCTCTGCCTTGTATTCGAGATGACGGGAGCTCTTGCTGTTGGCGCTCGGACTGCCTCCACTATTAAAAACGGCATCATCCCTAGCGAAGCTTTTGGCGACAACGCTGGCGTGCAATTACTCGCCTTCGCCTGCGCTTCAGCCGGCGCTTCTATTTGGGTTATGTGGTGTACGAGAAATTCTGCCCATGTCTCTTCCACCTATTCACTCGTATCCTCGATCGCTGGTGTTGGTGTAGCTGCAGTTGGCGCAAAAAACGTCCAGTGGGGATGGAGCAATGGATCGGGTCTTGGTGCCATTTTCGCAGGCTTGGCTATGGCTCCTGCGATTTCAGCTGTCTTCGCTGCTACCATCTTTATGCTGATCAAGGTACTCGTCCATATGCGATCTAATCCGGTCCCTTGGGCAGTCTGGTCTTCACCTCTCTTTTTCCTTATTGCAGGCACTGTCTGTTCTCTTTCTATTGTTTACAAAGGCTCCCCAAACCTTGGTCTCGATAAGAAGCCTCCATGGTATATCGCGAGTGTTACTCTCGGTGTTGGCTTCGGCCTCTTCGTCTTATCGGCAATTTTTTTCGTCCCTTACGTTCACGGCAAGGTCATTAAGAAAGACTACACCCTCAAGCTATACCACGTCTTTCTTGGACCTCTGTTATTTAAGCGTCCCGCTCCTGCCGATGCTGAGCGTGCTAAGGTGCCTAATTATGCTGTCTTGCAACATGGCGGCGAAGATGACCAGGACGAGAACAACAGTGGCTTGCAAATTCCCGAGAAAACCGCCGATAAGATTGGAGACCACGACAAGAGCAGTTCTGATGATGTTAACGCAGTGACATCCGTGCCAGCACCTATTATTGCCATCGCCGATAGTGAGAAGGGCGATGCGACAGTTGCTCTCAACCCCAATGAGCAATACAAGTTGCTTCTCAAAAAGGCCCGTGAACGCCATCACCAGGGGCTGCGCCAAAAGCGTGGGCCACTTGGGTGGGCAATGCGTGTGTTGCACGATAACCCTTTGGGTGCGGGAAGCATCTACGAGCTACACAACCTGAAGTCTCTCTTGATTCGCTTCCCTGCCATGATCGTTGTTGCTTTAACATACGGTCTGCACTATGATATACATAAGGCTCAAGTCGGTGTTCTTGGTACTCCCGAAGGCCGTCGAATGGACCGTGTCTATGCACACGCACCCAAATACGCTAATGAAGTCGAATACCTGTACTCCTTCGTGCAGATTATCACGGCCTGTACTGCATCTTTTGCCCATGGGGCCAATGATGTCGGCAATGCTGTCGGTGTGTGGGCCGGGATGTACGCTGCTTGGTCTACTGGCAGAACTGCTGCTTCGAAGGAGCATGTCCCTCTCTGGCAAATTGCAGTTGTTGCTCTGACTATTTGTATTGGTTTCATCACCTATGGATACAACATTATGAAAGGTATGTAACTGAGGATCTGACAACGCTTCATCGAGAGAACGCGAGCTAATACTGAAATTGTAGTCATGGGCAACAAGATCACTTACCACTCCCCATCACGTGGTTCCTCCATGGAGATGGGTGCGGCGATTACTATTTTGATATTCTCCCAGTACTCCTTGCCTGTCTCGACGTCCATGTGTATTACTGGTGCCACTGTTGGTGTTGGTCTCTGTAATGGAACCTTCAAGGCCGTCAATTGGCAGAGAGTTGGACTTCTCTTCTTCTCCTGGGTTATGACTATCCCTATTGCTGGGCTCATTGGTGGTGGTCTCATGGGTCTCGCTGTCAACACACCCTCTTGGTAAAGTTCTTGACAAGATTAGTTCTAAAATCTGCAAATCGATCGTAGACTTAAGAGACTGGCAAAGGCTCGATGCCCTGGAAAATCAGAACGTTACAGATAATGTATAAAACATCATTCAAGAGAGATGCTTCGCACAAGTCTCATCTTCTAGGACGTCTACATAACCTAGTAGAGAAAAGACTATTATTTGATCAGATTTGGCTCAGATCACTGTGTACAATACACTGTAAGATCCACAATGAGACATAATACCATTGTCTCTCTTCACAGTAACCAATTTAACACAGTAAACTATTCTCAATCAATAGTCCTCTTTTTGATGCCTTGAAACAATATATAACTTCAAAATTATAGAATATAATATTTATTCCATTATTCTGGAAATTTGCAAGTCACTGTGACACTGAGAAGTGAATGTCTCCTCCCTTTGAAAATAACGTCTCTAATACTATAGCTTGTATAATATATTTTTATTGTCTATGTTAGTCTATGTTAGAAACCGTGTCTTATACCAAGGGACGTTGGCTATAATAGATAGAATACCGGCATTGATTGCGTGAGTGGCACAGTGTAGGCTCTACGCATTGACACCACAGATATTTTAATTTGTTGATGTTCACTACGTGATAATTTCAACTCTTGGAAAATTGACTCAAAGGCTCGTTACCACTAATGGCACTTTAGTGTAGATACACATGAGTCAGAGACGGGAAGTGACAAGGGCAGAGAGAATTACGACTGCAAGCAAGAGTGCGGCGAAGAAACCCCGCGAAACAAAGATGCCTCCGATTCGGTCGTCGATTTAACCTAGCAAGACCAGGTGCTGCACCTGCGCCAGCCTCTAGATTCTTCAATTTGCGCTGTAGTCCAATCCGGTAAGCTGAGTTCCCAATTAACTCAGTTTCGTCCCCGGTGATATTATAGGAGACAGGATCGGATGCTTCGACTTCGCTATTCGCCGGTTTTGCATCCTTGCAAGTGCCGAAGACCTCAGTTGTCATGAATGCCTTCACACCGTTCACCCAATTGATACCGTCTGTAGAGTAGTGGATGATCTTTGTAGAAACTTTATCGGCGCTTTAGGCTCTAATGACTGAAGTAAAGGAGTCTAAGTACTTGGGTATAGGCAGTGAGTCATCCTTTAAACCGTCGTAGTTGGAGTGTCTGTCCATATTTTGCCTACGATAGTAGTAGAATACCTTGATGGCGCCCTAGTCGCCATATGTGCTAGGCTTGAAGGTTATATAGTCGTCACTGTTATAGCCTTGGTAAGCTTTAGGACTCTCGAGATATTACTATATGTGTCCGATCGTATATAAGTCTATAATGATATGTAAGCAAAGGTCTAGAGCCTGGCGCTAGATGTCGGTATGGTTATAATATGGCGTGTTTGCAACCAATCGGTTGTGTAGTATGCTCTGGGCTGAAGGCTTTGTAGTGTTGGTGAATCACTCTTGAAGGTGCTGCTTAAGATGGTTCTGTTTGGACATCCTAGTTGCTATATATAAGCTTATATATGACCTTAAGCTACTTAAGGATCTTACGTTGCGTCCCTTTGGGTTCTTTGCCATTAGTCGTTGCTATACTATAGAAAAATTGTAGGTTGCCAGAGTACGAGGGTTGGATCATACAGTCCGCAGATCCATCTCTAAAGTCGTTTTACCATTTGAGACCGTCGCTAAAATGATGGTTATCGTCGGATCAATCATCGAATAGGTAGCATGACGGATCGTCGTTCCAGACAAGGCCGCGATATATTCCCACTGTCTGTCATTGGGATTGTTGTAGGTGGTCCCTCTTGGCATGGGTTTCTTGGACTGAATGAAAGCAGCGATGGCTATGGGGTCCCGTGGACCGGAGGCTTGGTACACACACACACACACGTGGTGCCCAGATCACGTGATGATAGACAAAGGTGCAGGCAAGGTCTAGGTGCTTACGGAGGCCCATAGGTACGACTGACTCTTTGTACGACTGACTTTTTTCGTACCTGTGGGCCTCCGTAGGTGCTGACTGACCATGTAACTCCTATTTGTTAAGCTATATAACACACATCAGCTGTTCACGCTTCACAACACAGTAAGGCTCCTTTAAGGCCATGTCCAGGGTTACTGAAACCACTATATCTATATCACCTTTGTCTAGGTAAGGAACTTCCTAGTGATCGTCGGTATTATTTTTCTAAGTTTACTCTTACTGACTTAGTCTGATAATAAGGAGGTGGCGAGCACCTTAGAGAGCCTACAATTCCCTAGGGTATATATATGGAAGAGGCCCTCAGAGGCCCGCCATAAGAGCCGCAGGTCAGGTGTCGCCCTTGCTAAGAGCTGCTTATAATACTAATTAATATCAATGAAGTGTATATGTTGTTAAGATAATCGCGTTGTATGGTGATCCTTATATCATCATTACATGATAGCGATACGTGTATCCTGTATGCGAATTGCTTTTCTGCCGTGGCTTGAGAAGCGGTCAGGTTTCTGGCCGTGATATCAAATTCTTTTTGAGACCAGGGTATTGGGGTGTGTCTTTAGATTCATAAGAGTCACGGTATTCTAAGTAGAATGCTATACTACAGTGTACTTGTGACAAAAGAGAGCCCCGCTAAGCCTAGTGGTAAGCTCCCTAGCCCCTGACAGGGGTCAATTCAGTATATATATGGTGTGAGAGCACCCTAATTCTCCTTTGTACGTTCTATATAGTTTAATGAACTTTCCATTACCTAATTATATGCTTATATATACTCTACAATCCGTCACAATTATAAGCTCGGTTAGTATATATATAATTCTACTATACTATACTATAAACCGTATATATGATATTATCCTTTAAAAATAAGAATATATAGAATGCTATCAAGACCTACTTATTATAATGAAGCTTACCAACCAAAGCTTTTGAATCAATTGGTATCAAAAGCTTCGAATGAAAGCGAATTTATAAGATAATTAGTATCTAATCGACCTAAAAGTAAAAGATGCTATCTTTCTTATAGTGAAAGCTTATCTTTTGATAACTTTAAAGGAATATATCATCAGTTTGAATATATCTATACTTAAGGAGTATTCTATAGAGCTTATAGAATAGGTAGAAAGTATGGTACCTTAAGAGGAAAGGGAATCTATACCTACCAAGCCTACTATGATGATAAATAAATAAATAAAGGACGATTATAATATTTACTTAAAGATTTATATAATAAGCAAAACAAAATGATTAAATAAAAAAGAGAAATATCAAGCTGTCTATAATTAGATTAAGAAAACGGTGGTAGTAGAGCTTTACTCTTTTATAAGTATAAAGTTAAGCATATAAAAGACTAAGCTTATATTGTAGACGATTATATAAAACTTAAAATAAAGGCTTACCTCTTTGTATTCAAGTATCCTAACAATAGTAAGGAAAATATACAATAAAACGCTTATATAAGCAAAGCTTAAAGGATAATCTCTAGAGTGTTAGCTTTAAGATTGAGAGTAGGCCTACCTTATTAGCAAAGTTTACTAAATTCTAGAAGTTTAAAAGATAATTATCGTAAGAGCTTTTTTAGAAGCGATTAGTCTCCAAATTTACCTAGAATAGGCTAAAGTAAAGTTAGACGACTTTATAATCGATAAAGCGATAGGCCAACCAACTTACTCTCTATAATAGTATAGTAAAGCTCTTCGAACGATCCTTAACGTATGGACAAGCTTGCTAAAGGTGGGAAATTACCTAGTAGCATAAGAGAATGTAAGCGAGAAGACTAGCAAATAAGCTTTAAAATGCTTATCAAACGAAGAAGCTTATAACTGCCTCTACTTTAGCAAAAAAGAAAAAACATACTATTAAAGGCCTTCTAAATATATCGTCTTATATTAGACGATCATCGAAACCCTCCCTTTAAAGAGAATAAAGACTAAAAGCAAAAGCAAGGATAAGCTTACGACAATTTATATAAGGCTTTAATATTCTTAATTTAAGAACATTCTAAATAGTCTGAAAGGCTAGGAATAATACAAAAAGGTGTAGACAAACAAAGATGATAAGCAAGGCTTCCTAACTTAGCTAAGGCTAGTAGTAGCTACAATCATTAATCTACTATTTTTTAAATGAATTGAAAGCTTTCTAAGAATATATTTAGTGCTTTTAAACCGAAGGTATCTATTGACAGACTCTATACTATTCGACAATTATAGAATAGTATATATAGTGAATGCTAAAGACCTACTACTATCTGATTCGATTATATCTATCGACTCTATCCTACTTAACGTTAGAATAAGATAATGTATGATTATAGTATATAAAACTAAAATGATTATAAAAGTCTTTAATAAAGTATAAAAAAAAAGAATGGAAGATCTTACTCTTAAGGAGATTATATTGGTAGAAGGATTCTATACAAATATAGTCTCTAAAGCTTACCTTTTGAAAAAGAAAGTCTAAATAGCTAGAATCGACAGCTTGCTATAGATTAAAACGCTTGAAAATAGTAGGAAAATTGTATAATTAGAACGTTATTTTAACCTTATATTCTTTAAATATAAGCTTATCTTCTTTTATTCTAAAGTATATTTTATTTTAATAAGCTTTATAAGACTATTCTTAACTATGAAAATTAGACTAAAGGAAACAGTATAGAAGCCTTTATTAGCTTATCTATAGCTAAAAAGCAACTTAAAGCTTATCTAGCACTTATAAGTAGGGTATTTAAGTCAAAAAGCTTTAAGGATATTAGTAATGAATGTAAGAAACATACAAATTTATAGTAATATATCCTTAAGGTATAAATCCTATACTTTCGCTAGAGTAATATAAGTGATATTATATACTCTTTTGGAAAACTAAGTATCTTGTCTTTTCTATTATATTAGCTTTAATTTATTTGACTTTTCTAAAGAATAATTCGATAATTGTTAGCTACTGATAATTAAGGAAAAGTACTTTAGAAAGCTTAAAGCAACACCTTTACCTGACAAATCGCTTATATCAATTCTATCGATCATACAAAAGTAT